AGCAGCTCCATGGGGGAAAGACTGGACTTTCTACTCCCGTAAACAGTTATAGTCTCAGAACCCACAGGGGCTGGCTAGGAGTCAGCATGGCCTCATGGTGAGTTTGGTTGCTGATGCTGTTGTTTTCCAAAAGAAAGGTCCGGGAGAGTACCTGTTATTCAGACTCAAACACCAGCCACTAAACACAAAGATCTTTACCAACTTTCTGTAGTCTGAAACTGATCACAGATGCATTGATAATTACTAGGGATTGATCATTACTGAGGATCGTACTGTGAAAGTTGGAAACAAAGAGGATGGCCAACAAGTTGGGGGAGATCCCTTGTTGTGCCCATTTCAAGGGAAGGTTACCCAACATAATGCAGACATCATCTAATCTCAGACACTAGTGAAATTTTGCTGATCATTAAACTATGGCTGCAGCATTATATTGATAAAGGAACAGCCAGAAATGGGAACCATCTTCGAAGGAGGGTATGCAATGAGGGCTATCTTGGCAGAAATCAACTCCTATGCACGTGAAAGCTGACCATGGACAGGGAAGGCCGGAGGGCATGAATTCATTTCAATTACTGATGAAGCCTATTGAAGACAACCACAGGCAACCAGAAGAATAATCAGATCTGTCTGGGAAGAAGGACAGTCAGGCTGCCCCTTACAAGCAAGGAAAATAAGACTTCATCTCATGTTCTTTGGCCAGGTGGGCAGGAGGGTCCAGACCCTGGAGAAGGACATCATGCTTGGTGAAAGATCCTGGGCAAGATGAATTGGCGGTGGGTTCAACAATGGGCTCAAGCATCGCATCACTGGGAAGATGGCAATGGAGTGGGCAGAGTGTTGCTGGGTTGCACAAAGGCTTTCCGTGAGTCAGAGCCGACTCGATAGCACCTAACAACACCAACCTAGTCTTTAGATTGCAGATGATCTGGTTTATTCTTTCTTGGTCCGCCTTTTAATAATGTAAAACCATCCCTAGTTCACGGGGTGTGTAACAAGAGGTGTTGGGTGGGACTTACCCCCCCTGCTCCTAGCCACCTGCTCAAGCTGACGAGGGTTTGGTAGCCTCTGTGCAGGAAGCGTTGGCAATGACCAGGGAGAGCCGGGCTGAGAGACATTGGACCATGGCCTTTGTGAGGGACTTGAAAGTGGGGAGGATGGCCCGCTGGGGTGGTGCTGGACCAGGCACCACACCTGGTGATGTTTACCTCACAGACCCTCCCAACAGGAAGGCGACCATCATCACCTGGTCACTCCCGCTGTGCTCTGTCAATGCCCATAATTACTGGCAGGGGAGGCCCCCACCCCAAAGTCAATCACTGCATTGTCATTTGCCCATTCTATTCAGCCCATGCCACAGGCATTCCTCTCAGACGGACTTGATCTTGTTTCATCCCCCTGGAGTTCTGGATAGGATTATCATTCCTGGTTTACCCACCCCCCCCCCCCCCCCCTGAGGATTTGAAGGAAAGTTATCAAGCCTCTCTCCCCCCTTATGCTTCCCCCTGGGATCTTTCACTAAGAATTCATATAAACCCAGGGCTCTGACCTAGCAGTTAATCTTTCTGGTCCTCTAAGCTCTTTGAAGTCAAGCCTGCTCAGGAAACGGTAAGTCTAATACTGTAGATCTTTTATGCTTCCTTTGCATCCCCAGCCCCCACCCCACCTCTCTCCCCAAAGCACCACGCCAGCAGAGAAGTGTCTCTGCTGTGATTCCCAAGTTCTGGACACCTGGAAGTTGAGTGCGAGAACACCTCTAGCATCTCCCCGTGCACGTCCGACTTATGCTAAAGCTCCACCCTGGATCGAAGTCTTTTTCCTTGCCCTATTTTCTCCCTTAAAGCTACTGATTGTGATGTGCGTGCTGGCGGGGGCTGGGAGGAGGGCTGGCCCTCCTGTTTGGGAAAGAGGAAACGTCTGATCTTCCGCGTGAAGCGTAGGGGTGAGGGTTGAGCAGTGCGTGCTCTCAAACATGGCGGTCTGGATGGAGACGGCTCCAAAGCTGGGCCTTCCTGGTCTGTGGCCTTGAACACACAGAGACAAGGCTGCCAGGCCTCAGTCTTCAGGCTGCATCCCCTCGCAGTGACACGAGGGGAACAGCAGCCGTCTGCAGGGGTGCTTCCAGGGAAAAGGAGCCCCGGCGACCAAGTGGTGAAAGCATGCAGCTGCCACTCAAAGGATGGGCGGTTCCCATGCTCAACGGTGGGTGAGAGGGCCATGTGGCTGCCCTGCTGCAAAGATGACCTTGAAACCCTATTGCATGCCCTCCTCTGTCCTGTGGGGCTGCTAGGTGTCAGAACCGGTTCAAAGGCAGTGGGGCTCTGTGTGTGTGTGTGTGTGAGAGAGAGAGAGAGAGAGGAGAGAGAGTGTGGAGGGAGTGTGTGTGAGAGTGTGCATGCACACCTGCCTCCAGGAGCATGGACTATGGCTGTTGTATTCCCGTTGACTTGGTCTGGCTCATGGCAACCATCCTGTGTAACAAAGTGACATGTTGTCTGTCGCCTCCTGGTCTCCACAGTCCATGTGAGTCTCCACTTGTGGCTGTTGTGTCCCCCCCCCCATGGGGGTTGGGGGGTCCCCTCATCCTCACTGTCTTTGTTGCACAGCCACAATGCCCTGGTCCACCCCCTGCCAGCCATGCCCCATGGGCGGTGCTGGGGCTCCGTGAGAGTGAGTTGAATTGTGAGACCCAGAGACCCGACTGAGCAAGGAGAACTGTCGTTACCTTCTCGGGGACAGATGGCCATCTTTCTCCTACTGAGCCAGCGAGTAGCTTTGGAACCAGTGACCTTTGGGTTAGCTGTCCATAGCTGGCCCAGGTGGCATCCCGGGGCTCCCAGGTGCATCAGATGGCCTAGAAATACGAGGCTCTTCAGCTCAGGTTCCAAAGGCTGAGCACCACCTTTGGGTGTGTGTCACTGGCTAGTGATATACAGAACACCGGCTATTTAATTTGAAGATTCCAATAGCTCACGCTCACTGCCACTGAGTCCAGTGACCTGCTAGGACAGGGTAGAACTGCACCTGTGAGCTTCTGAGACTATAGTGCTTGACGGGAATAGCAGGCTTCCTCTTCCTCCTGAGGAGGGACTGGTGGTCTCCAACTGCCAGCTGATAGTTGGCAGCCCAGCCCATCACCACGACATCCCCAGGGAACATAATTTACCAGCTTCACAACCAGGAGCAAACCCTCCGGTCCCCCTGAGCCGCCGGGTCCTCAGTAGGAAGATGAAGTTGACATGTGGGAAAGGGCTGAGTGAATGGGCTGTAACCATGTCCCGTGACACCCTGGATCTCGCCAAGGCTGGCACAAAGGGGGGCAAGCTTCTATGTGGGGGTTCCCCTCCCCACAGAGCACTGTGAGTCTTCTCTATCTGAAAAGGGCAGCTTTCAGCAGCCAAGTGCAGTCAGAAAGGCAGGCTTGCCGGTCAGGTGGAGCACGAGCCTGGTCCAGCTGTGGTTTGGGTCCATTGGAAGGTACACAGAGTTGGGTTAGGGCACCAGGCACATTGTTCTCCGCGTGGCCATTCCCAGCTCCCAGGCTGCCTCCTATGGAACACAGTCACGTTGTGAACTAACTTCTCAGACTCTTGGGCAGATCCTTGGCTCCTTGGTAACCACATGATGATAGCCCTTCTTGAATCTTCTTCCGGGAGTGAGGCCGCCGTATGTTCGATTCCTCTCCTTGCCACGATGTTTCTGAAGAATCCATTCTGTCTCTTTGGAGCGTTGTGCCCCCTCCACCACCACCACCACCCCGCCCCCTATGGCTGTGTAAGTGATTCTAGTCAATGAGCTACAAGTGAAAGGGAGAGTACCATCTCCTGAAGATGCATTTAAGAATCAGGGATTCAGGGTGCGATGTAACAATGATGAGAAATACAACCTTCCTCTAGTTCCTAAAGGTTTCCTCCCCGCTCCCACTACCATGACTCG